TCCCTCAGCTGCTCCTCCCCACACTTGGGCTCTAGACCCTTCCCCAGCTTTGTTGCCCTTCTCTGTCCACACTCCAGCCCCTCAGTGTCCTGGGAATGATGGACCCAAAACCCACCCCAGGATTTGTGGCGTGGCCTCCCCAGTGCTAAGTGCAGGGGGACAGTCCCTGCCCTACCTGTGGGCACCAGTAGGTGACAGAGCCTGTCCCTCTGTGCTGCTGTCCCCCAGGGATGCCTGACGACCAGAGGGAAGGTCTGCAGGAGGAGCTCATCGACATCATCCTCCACGTCCTGAAGCGCAACCCCCAGCTGCACTACTACCAGGGCTACCACGACATCGTGGTCACCTTCCTGCTGGTGGTGGGGGACAGGCTGGCCACCGCCCTGGTGGAGAAGCTCTCCACCCATCATCTCAGGTACCCGGGGGGCCTCAGCAGGGGGAGAGGACACCTGCATGTCCTCGAGCTGTGGGGACACCTCTGGAGCCGGGGCTGCTCCTGGCAGGCCGAGCCGTGGGTCACATCCATACCCAGTGGGGTGCTGTGGGAGCAGAGTGACCCCAGGGCCACACGGGGCTGTGCAGGGAGCTCTGCACGGGGAAAGGGGTGGCTGAAGGCTCTCAGTTAATTCATAGCCTCTCTGGAGGCTGGAGAGGCCAAGGCAGGTGCCTCATGCATCGTTCTCTGGTGCCAGGGCCCCTCCAGCTCCCGGCGCTGGCGCAGCGGGTGCCTCACGCCCTGGGCAGGGGGCAGGTCCCACCCCTGTCCTCAGCGTGGGGGGACTCCTGGTTGTGCACTGCAAGGAGAACAGGCCCTCAGCAGGGGGTGGCGTGGAGGGGTCCCCCCTCCTCTCCCAGCCTGGGGGTAGCTTTGGGAAGGGCCTTGGCCTGGCTCACACGGGCACTGCAGCGTCGGCTGCCCCCAGCGTGGTGCTCTGGGGCTGGGTTTGGGGGCAGGTCAGCCCTGCCTGTCCCAGGTAGGTGGCAGAGGGACCATCCCAAACGGGCAGAATCCCGTGGGGTCGAGGGCTGGTTGCCCACAGAGCTGCTTATGGCAAGGACATCTGTTTTTGCCTTCCAGCTGCCTCCCTGGAGGGGGAGCTCACTGACCTGGTTGCCTGACAGCTGCTTTAAAATCTTTCCTCAGGGATTTTATGGACCCAACGATGGATAATACCAAGCACATTTTAAATTACCTGATGCCCATCATAGACCAAGTGAACCCTGAGGTGCACGACTTCATGCAGAGGTATGCAGAGAGCCTCCTGGCTCTCCTCTCCCCATCTCACATGGCTCTGGGTTGGGGCATTTGCACCAGCATGTCCCCAGCACCCCAGTGGCTTCCTGAGAGTCTGCCAGCAGCTGATCCTGCCCAACAGTGACAATCCAAAGCCACGTGGCTCTCTGCTTCTGAGCAGAGCCTCTCTGGAGGGGTTTTAGGTGGTGCCATTGTCCCCCTGGGGCCTGCAGTCCCTGCTGGAAAGGCTGGGGTGTTGGGGACAGTGTCACACACAGCTGCCACAGCTGCTGCAGGTGCCTGGGGTTGTGCTGGTGTCACCTCACTGCAGTGCATTACTCGTTTTGGGGATAATTCCCAGGTTTGGCAATAGAGACACACAAGTGGAGTCTGGGCAGAATAACATGGGAGCCAGGAGATGAGTGGGAAGTTTCAGCCCAAGGTCATTTCCTGGGCAAGTGTCTCTGTCACGTTTCATGGCCAGGATGTCTCTGGGGACCCAGCTTGGTGGCACACTCCCAGAAGCTGGCAAACCTTTAGGATGCAAAGGAATAGAATCATAGAATCCTTTAGGTTGGAAGGGACTTCCAAGATCATCAAGTCCAACCACCGAGCCACCAGGGCTCTAAAGTCCTCTGCCAAAACAGATCAGAATCTGTCAGGGTTGGAAGGAACCACAAGGGTCACCCAGTTCCAACCCCTCTGCCAGGAGCAGGGACACCTCCCACTAGATCAGGCTGCCCAGAGCCTCCTCCAGCCTGGCCTGAAAGACCCCCAGGGATGGAGCCTCAACCACCTCCCTGAGCAACTCATCCCAGGGTCTCACCACTCTCATGGGGAAGAACTTCTTCCTCACATCCAGCCTGAATCTGCCCACTGCCAGCTTTGCCCCATTCCCTCTAGTTCTGTTGTTACTTGAGATCCTAAAAAGTCCCTCCCCAGCTTTCTTGTAGGCCCCCTAAGAATCAGAGAAGGTGACTGTGCTGCAGGACCCGGGTGCCACCGGGCCAGGGCACGTCACCCGGGCAGCTTCTCCTGCAGGCAGGAGACCTGGAGCTTTGCTGTGGACCCTGCTGGATGTGAGACGAGCCCTGCCTTGCCCTGGGGGTGGTACCAGAGGGGCAGCTGGTGGGTGTGGGCAAAGCTCTGGTGGCCAGCCGGCTCTGCCTCCCCTTCCCTTCAGGTGCAGGGGGGGGTCCCCGGGAGCGTTCCAGGGCTGTCCCCAGGCTGGCAGCTGATGAGGTGACTCTCCCTCTCTGCAGTGCGGAGGTGGGCACCATCTTTGCCCTCAGCTGGCTCATCACCTGGTTCGGGCACGTGCTCTCTGACTTCAGGCACGTCGTGCGATTATACGACTTCTTCCTGGCCTGCCACCCGCTGATGCCCATTTACTTTGCTGCTGTGGTAGGTGCCAGTCGGAGCCACGGGGGGGTCACGGAGCTGCTGGGAGGTGCTGGGAGCTTGGGGCTGGCAGAGCCGGGGCTGCTGCTGCCCTGCAGGGACCCCCCCCCTCTGCAGGGGGCACCCCGAGGGCAGCGCTGGCAGAGGGCGGGTGGGATCCGGGAGAGCTCGGGGCAGCCTGGGCA